TGGGCACCAAAGCGCCATGTCCCATGCAGCGGGGCGGGTTTTGAGGGAGCAGCTCTGAAGGTACCGTTTCGGTCCGATGGCCAAGGCTGCATTATTATACTGTATTCTACCCCCTTTCTTGCGATTCTACAGTTATGTTGCCTCGAGCCGGTCAAGCAAATGATGTTGCGGCAACAGCATTCCCTTTCGCGAGGCCCAAGACTTCACGCGCAAGCAAGCCCATTGGGTGGCTTCTTTCGGGTTTCAAATAAGGCACCGTGTGGAAAATGGCTGTGGCTGGACCGGTTCACGGTCACTTCCAAGGGAACCCCGTAAGTGATAAAGTAGTCATGCGGCACAGAAAAGTGGCGGTGTCCTCTGAACCTGCGCGTGGTGAGAAGGGTCCTTAACTTGTAACTTCCTTTAAGCTGGATGCATTTGAGGGCATGGCGTCCTCAGGGAGGCTTCAAGCAGTGCGAGCATTTGCACGTGTCCAAAAGTGATTGAACTGGCGAAATTTACAAATTCATTGGCCTCTCATAGGCTGTGTATGTACAACCTCCCTCAGGCAGGATTTTCACTGTTCACCCAGTTTGTAGGTTGCTCACGGCAGCTGGTTTTGCCAACCTACGCAAAAGCCGTTCAATCTTGAAAGCTGAAGCTGGCTGTTCGTAGCACTTGGTCACTTGGACAATGCTTGATTGGGTGCCTAACTAAACAGACGGGACCCGGCCCAACCCCCGGGTCTCTCATGCCGAGGTAGGGACGATTCACCTGCGGGGAGGCCCAGAAGTCGAGGGCGCTGTGGCCAAAGAGACGGCACTGCCTCTGGAAGTCAGCTTGCCACTTTGTGAGTTATGGCGCGGGGGGGAGGGGTGGGGGGGCAACTTAGTGGCACGGACTTGTCGCATGCGAGGAATGCCTTTCCAAATGCTTTGATGGAATGCTTCTGTCATGTCCCTTTGACAAAGCTGTGAAGTTGCCAAGTGGGCCGGATGTGGCAAACAAACTGGTTTCATGGGAACCAGTTTCCGCTGGTGAAGGTCTTGCATTGGATGGCAAAGGCCTTTTGGGTTTTGAAGTCAAACTTGTCGGGCATTGGAACGCAAAACGCAGATCAAGTAGTTTCTGGGGGCAACTTTGGAATCAGAGAGAGGATATTTGTTCGACCGCCACGAGTTAAGCTTCAGGCCGATCCGAATGCACCTCTTCATCGTGGACGGCGTTGGCGCCGTGGTGGCGAGCCTGAACCAGGAGATCGGAGGGCCATGGCAAAACAGGTTCCATTGAAGACATCCTCCAAATCACCATTCAATAAGTGCGTTTAAAGCTTATCCAACCCCAAAAGTAATGTTGTTCACTTTCAGGCTCCCCCCAAAACTGGATCATATGCAAATCCCTAAGGGTTTTGCGAAGAACCTTCGGGCGAGAAGGCCAGAAAGCTGATTTGGAGGTCTTTATTCGGGGTCTTCAAATGTGTTAGCGTTTGATTCATGAACGTGGTTTCCACATTGGTTCGTCCCGATGTTGCTTGGTTGGTCGATTGGTTGGCTTCCTGATGTTAACCTCGGGTTAACAATCTCCTGGTTGATTGTGATCCTCACCGAACTCCTGGTTGATTTTGATCCCGGGCTGTTCCTTTTTAGTGGCAATCCGGATCACTTTTCTGGGTGAACCCTGCCCCCCCATTTGTAGGATAGGTCTTTTGACCCGGGGTTCCCATAGGCCATCCAAAGGGGTCCCCGCTTGTTGGACTTCCATTTTTAAAGAAGCGAATGCAAGTCCCGGGCCTGGCATGCTTTCCCTTCCAGCTGGAGGTCACGCGTTAATATACAGCCAGAGTCGCAGTTGTCTTGCAGGGTGAATGGGGGCAAGGGTTTGTGTGATGTTCAAGCTGAGGAGTCGGGTTTCGGTGCTGATTTGAGCGATGAGGGCTGTCTTGTTCCTAGCCCCTGCAGAATTGGTCAGTTGGTTGCGTGGCAAATTTGCAGAACCAACCTTGGACATGCTGCGGTCCGACCCAGTAACAACCCAGCCCCTAACACAGTTTCGCCAGCCCCAACCCTGGCAAACATCGGGCCTGAATCAGCTTAAACCTAAACACACACACACACACAAACGCAAAGGGACCGAGCCCAACGAGGGTTAACCGATCTGCGTCGACCTCGTAGAGAGCCCACCCTGCACCTCCTAATTGAAGAAGCCACGATAGGTCAGTGGCATGCGCAATCCACAGCGAACCTGCGCACCAGCAGCAATGGCAGAGTGACGCAAATGCACTTCTCCATTCCAAGTAAGTCCTAAGCCTTCTCATCTCCATCCATGAAGGCTGTCCTGGCAGCTCGAGGACACGTGTCCAATCAGGTTTTTGCACACTAGGCTTTGGAGAGCAATTGCCTTGACAGGCACGCACGACTTCAGCGTGGTGCTTAAGTTTGCCATTTTTGTAGTGTACCCTGATGTGTTGCTTTCTCGTTTGTGAGGCGAACGTGAGCGATATTGTTGACAACACTACTTGACC